TAAACTTTTTCCCATTATAAAACCTTTAAAACAAAATACTTAACACACACTCCCTCGGCACACATTAAAGAATGGAAACCTTCAATTTCAAGTCTTGTTCCTGAGCTTTTGGACCAAAAACTAAAGTCATCGATGCACTTAGCCGAATATGTAATTAATGAACCCCTAAGCTTTACCTCCATAAAACACATTTTACCTCCATCAAACCATTTGATCATTCTGTTTACTTTCTCTTGATTTTTCTGTTAAAATCTTAAAAAAGAACTAAAATATCATTACACTTAAGAAGAAAGAGACTAAACTAACATAAGTTATTTGTTTTATGTAAAATGATAGTTAAGTCTTATCAAATTTACAAAAAACGATGAATTTTTTATTATTATTATTTTCTAAAATATTCTTACTGTTCCTATGGTCCTACCTTCATTTCATTAGTTGTAGTTTGAAATGGAATATATAAAATAACTTGTTCTCTTGAATATTGATGCCTAAAATTAAATGCCTATTATTTTTCTTAAAATTAACTCGACGTATATTTTTCTTTTTCATCTTTTGGTCGGTTGCCCAAGACAGTAAAGTGACACATTATGTTGATCTATTATTTTTCTTAAAATTAACTCGACGTATATTTTTCTTTTTCATCTTTTGGTCGGTTGCCCAAGACAGTAAAGTGACACATTATGTTGATCAAAAAAATTTTTTTGGGTGAATGTCAAATAATCAATGTATACCCTGATTCTTTGTTTTCCCTCCACGACAAATGGAAATTCTAATGTAGATTAGTTTAGTATTTTTCTTCTTAAATGTCAAGATATTTTTTCCCTCCACGACAAATGGAAATTCTAATGTAGATTAGTTTAGTATTTTTCTTCTTAAATGTCAAGATATTTTAGTCTTTTTCTGTAGATTTTAATAGAAAAATATGGAGAAAATGGACGGAATGACCAAATGGTTTCACAGAGGTAAATCTTAAATATCATTAATTAATATTATTAAACTGCAGGGATGACTTAGTTAGTTTGATCAAACCTCAGAGACGAATTAATTATTTTTCATTCTTACGTGTCAGGGTGTTTTAGTCTTTTTAAAGGTTTTAACGGAAAAATCTAGAGAAAATGGACGGAATGACTAAGTGGTTTGACGGAGGTAAACACCGGGAATCATTAATTAATATTTATAAACTGTAGGGATGACTTAGTTTAGTCAGACCTCAGGAATGAATTAATTATTTTCCCTTTTAATAATAAATTCATCTATGGTTTTAATTTCGTTAAACAATTAGATTCTTTCCTTAAAAACCGCATGCTTTAACCATTTACTGCTGATAGAAATTGTAAATGTAAGGGAATAAATAATAAATATGAAAAGTGAATAGTCAAATATTGTATGGTGTTTGTAAATTGACATTTGTGAGATAAATAATTTAATGAAGATGAATCTTGAAAATAAATCAATTTATTTCAAAAAAAAAAAAAAAAAAAAAAAAAAAAAAAAAAAAAGAATGAAAAATAGTAAAATTAGAGAAAAAAAAAAAAAAAAAAAAAAGAATGAAATAGTAATTAGAGTTAAGGGTGAAACTATGGTAAAGATCAACAATTTTCTGTATTGGTACATAAGTTATTTTGTACCGTTAGATTTTACTTGCTTAATAACAAACTGTTAGACAGAAGTTTATACTGGTAACTAGTTAACTACTAAACAAGTTAACTATTTGCTTTTAATTTGTCATAGAAAGTAATAAAATACAGCCTGTAACCCTTTCCCTAAATCATTGACAAGAATCCAACTCCTTGCGGCTGTTTCTTCTTCATTGATTAACCCATTCAAACCATCTATAGGAGCATCCGACCATCCCATTCACGAAGGAAAAGAATACGCCCTCTTTTTTTTTTTTCACTATTCCTAAATATTCCCTGTCATCTGAGTTTTCTTATCAGGAGTTGAATGATCATTCATCAGCAACCATTCAATACCTAAAACATCAGAATACAATAAACAAGGATTCAAGAACAAGTATTACATCCTAGATTACATGAACAAATTCAAGAAAATGCACAAGCAAATTCACAATACTGAAAATACAGTAAAAATTGCAGTCATCAACCTCGGTGCCACAGCCACATGAACATTAGTTCTTTGCCACATCAGAAGAAGTGAAATGAACATGCATGTGACAATGGTCATATGCTAAGAAATTATGTAATTTATTCTGCAATGACAAACAAATGAAGATTTTTATGTTGGACAATGACTACAGTTTTTTTACAATTTTTAAAAATCATAACAGTTTGGCAATCGCAAAACTGAATATATAGCATTATAAGATAACTTATCAAAATGTAAAATAGTAATTGCAGCAGCAAGTGTAGAGAAAGAATAAGGACTATTTGCAGATGGATGGGGTGTGATAATTGTTGAATATTAAACTTGTTCACATCCAGAGTTAAGTTCAATGTTTTTATTAGATATACACAAGACCTGTTCTAGCAGCATTTATTTCATACACAATATTTGGCCTATAAGAAGTGTATTAGTCATTCTAGATTTGATCCAAAGAGTCACTTTTAGTGCTATATAAGTTTTTAATCTATTTTTTGATTGTAACTCAATAGAAAACATATTCCTTTCTTCCAACAAATCTGGTATCAGAGCAATCCCCATAGAGATGACCTGCCTTTTTGCATTTATAACATACTTTTGGAGCATCGTTAGGACCAGTAACAGGTGGTTTCCCTTTGCTAATAGCAGCATTTTCATTTTGTGTCTCTTCATATTTCTTTCCTGTATTTCCAGCAGAAGCCAGTAAGCCATTCTGATGCTCCTTTCTTCCCCATCTTGATTTGCATACTTCTCTTTCATTTTCTTAAGTTTACTCTTCTGCTCACGACTGATTTTTCCACCTCCTGCCTTGTTATTTTGAATACTTGTTTCAGGTTGACTATTGACAGAAACATTATTTTCTTTTGATTCTTCTTTCTCATCATCGTTTGCATCTCCAACATCACTTTTCTGACCTTTCTTTAGCTTTCTTCTTTCAGCTTTTGAAATATGAGGTTTATCTCTCACTCTTACTTTCCTTTCCTCATGATCACGATCATCAGACATATCAGCCTGGGATATTTCTATTTCATAATTGTTTTGAGATACAGTAGCAGGTCCCAGCCCAAGAGCTCTATCAATGAGATCCTCAAGTTGTGGGGTAATAGAAGCAACACCATTTCCAACAATAACACGCATCTCTTCAATGCTGACTCCACTGGTGGCAATTTCTTCTTGAAAAATTTTATGTTGATCGATGACTTCAGCATTAGAGAAAGTGGAGTCATTGACAATATTTTTTTATTCTAGCCTGTGCTCTGTGCCTATTGCTTGCTTCTCTGAGTCGAAATCAGAAATTTCTCGGACAGAGCCACTTTCTTCAAAGTCATTCAACCCTTTCTCCTCACCACGTACCTCCTTTCGTTTAAATGTGATCCCAAAGAGCTCTCGTCCAAGCGAACTAACAATCCAAAGCCCATTATAAGAGGATGCGGAGGGAGAAAGTTCTTCTTCCCACGAATCATGAAGCTTCCAACAGTGAGATATTCCCCTATAGGAGCAGACTTGCTGACCTGATGAGGGTACACCCACCAAGCACTAGTAACAATCTTTGAATCCCATGCCTGGCTGTGGCAAACTGTGAAACATCCAGCTTGGTTTAAAGTGAGATATTCCCCTATAGGAGCAGACTTGCTGACCTGATGAGGGTACACCCACCAAGCACTAGTAACAATCTTTGAATCCCATGCCTGGCTGTGGCAAACTGTGAAACATCCAGCTTGGTTTAAAGTGAGAAGAGGTACAGGTTGTTCAGACTTGTAATCTGTTTTTTGATTATAATTCAATAGAAAACATATTCCTTTCCTCCAACAATAATACCATTAAAAATTGCAAAAGCTAGATGGATACTAAAAGACATGGAACCAGAGGAAAGAGGAAGGAAAGGCCAAAAATATCCAGTAAAGAAAACCTATTATTGTAGTTTACTAAAACACGTGTAAGTTATTTATCTTATTTCTATTGGTACAAAAATTATATATTTTGTACATCATTAAAAGTCCAAACTTAAATCTCAGAAACTAGATAATATTGATTCCCTCTTACAGTTTTAGGAAATTATCACTGTCGTTATATGGTATCCAACCCAACAAGGAAATATAAAACGTGGGCCCAAACTAAAACACAATCTATATTTAAGAGAAAAAATTATACAACAGTGAGCCTACCCAATTAAACAATAATAGAAAGCCCAATACAATTTTAGAGCCACAGTATAATATATTACTATATATATTGAAATAAGTTGATTTTATTGATAAAAACTCAACCTCAGATTATAATTTTTATCTTTCTAAAAAAATCAATTTAGCTAGAAAATCAAACTAAATGATTGAAATAGCATCAATTCAATTATGGTGTTCACTTTGAATTGAAATTTAAACCTACCTAAATGCTAATATGATGATTCAGTCCATTCGGTTTTTAGTAAAAAAATCGAAATTTAAATTTTAACTAACTGGACCAAACCAATTTTACGAAAAAGTCGAATTAAATAAACCATTAGTTTGATTCGGTTATTTCATAATAAAAATGGAAATTTATTCATCCGCATATATGACCTAAGTAAAAATATTTAATTAATTTTTTTTAGGTTATATTTCAGAAAAGATCAAACGTAGTATTGTCTTGTTTTATGCATGTATAATTACCACATAAGCAATCCTAGTTGCGGAAATTTTTTATTTTTTTATTTTTTTGAACCCTCAGTTTTTCAATTTTCTCCCTAAATATTTTGCTATTTACATTTTTTCCCATTTGGACCAATGTACCTATACCAAGGATTTTTCAAACAAAATTTCAAATCTAAGGTGCCTACTGCCTAATATTTATTAAAAAGAAATTTCTCCACCGTCGAATTTGCTTTCTTCTGTGTATATAAAGTTCCCTCAAGGTGTATGCACTTTAGCATCAAACCATTCTCTAATCTCAACATTGGTGTTCACTTTAGCCTTAATGTTCTCTTCAAACAATTAAAGACTGAGCAGAGAGAAATAGAGGAAGAGCAAAGGAACTCTCAAAGTTCCCCCAAACACTTCAAAAAATGACTTCTTCAGGAATTGAAACAACCACTGGCCAAGAAATGCTTGACCTTGAGAAAAATGGTCGAGTCGAGAGGGCTAAGTGGGTGCTCAATGCTCCTGAGCCACCCAGTCCATGGTGCCAGCTCATGGGTTCCATAAAGGAAACCTTATTTCCTCATGGTACTGGGTTTTTGACACCTTTCAAGAACCAAAATGGGAATAAGCCTGTACTTTCTGTCTTGCGAGCAATATTTCCAATTCTTTCCTGGTGTCGAAATTACAAAGCAACCAAATTCAAGAACGATCTTTTAGCTGGTCTAACTCTAGCTAGCCTCTGCATTCCTCAGGTGAACTTGTAAAAGCTTATACTCAAATATAGATATACATGAAATTAATCTTTTTTATTTTTATTTTTATTTTTATTTTTATTTTTATTTTTTTTACCAAGTTCTCATATAGTTAATGTGAATTTCATGTATAGGGTATTGGATATGCAACCTTGGCTAAGCTCGATCCTCAATACGGCCTTTGTAAGATTACTTATGCTTTTGGCTTATACAATTACCCTTTCAACGGGTTTAACATAACATTTAAAAAGAAGAAATTTGATGTTACGAAAATTTCTATGCATAGGAGACCCCATGACAATATGTGGTAAAGGAACTTATGGAGAAGGGTAGAACCAAATTCTAAAATGAAATTAGTCTTGTATGCAAAAAAAAAGGGTGTGTGATACTTGTAGGAAATGCAAAAAAGCCATCTACATTTTATTTTAAAAATGTTTATCTTGTTAATCATTATTTTTAACAGCAAGTGTCAAATTGATATTTATATAAATGCTATTATATCCAATATTTGTTTTCTTGTTCTTTTCTTTTTTTCCCATTCTCAGACTTCTTACACTATGAGGATGATAAGTAATTTTTTTTTTTTTTTTTTTTTTACACTATGAGGATGATAAGTAATTTTTTTTTTTTTTTTTTTTTATATGTTAGATTTTTTTTTTTTTTTTTTTTTATATGTTGGCTATTGTTTTTTAAGTTCTTGATTTTCTCACAGTGAGATAAGGAGTCGGGCACTGGATTGTTGTAGGGAAATTATTGTAGTTAAAAGGAATGCTTGGTAAGATTTGTGAGAATGTTTTGTTTGTTCTGTTCAGACACAAGTGTAGTCCCACCTATTATATATGCTCTACTGGGAACTTCAAGAGAAATAGCTATTGGACCAGTTGCTGTGGTTTCACTTCTTTTGTCCTCATTGATTCCAAACATACAAGATCCTGAAGCTAATCCAGTTGCCTTCAGAAATCTCGTTATTACCACAACCTTTTTTGCAGGAATTTTTCAGGCTGCCTTCGGACTATTCAGGTTATTTACTTTTTTATGCATATTCATGTGCATGATGTATTAATTATTTCAACTAATATTAATTAATTAATGAGAATTTTACAGGTTGGGGTTCCTTGTGGATTTTCTGTCCCACGCTGCAATTGTTGGGTTCATGGCGGGGGCAGCCATTGTTATTGGTCTCCAACAACTGAAAGGACTACTTGGGATTACTCATTTCACAAACAAAACTGATGTGATCTCTGTCGCCAAAGCTACTTGGACATCAGTTCATCATTCTTCAGTAATGTCATTTAATTTCTCAGATCATTATATCTTCTTTCTCAATTTAAATTTCATTATGCTAAACAATATCCTTCTTTTTTTATTATTTTTCTAAAATCCCAGTGGAATCCTCATAATTTTATCCTCGGATGCTCGTTCTTGAGTTTCATTCTCACGACAAGATTCATTGTAAGTGAAAAATTTTCCTTTCCCCTTATTATTAATCTCTTGGTATATTCATAAGGCTAGTAGTTCCTAATTTTTCAAGAAATGATACACTTTCTTGTTTTATAATTTATTAGGGTAAAAGGAAAAGGAAACTCTTCTGGCTTCCTGCAATTGCTCCTCTGGTTTCTGTTGTTTTATCAACCCTAATTGTTTTCCTGACGAGAGCTGACAAACATGGAGTAAAGATTATAAAACACATCAAAGGAGGCTTAAATCCAAGCTCAATCCATCAGCTACAGTTCAATGATCCACAAATTGGACAAATAGTTAAAATTGGATTTATAGTTGCTCTTGTTGCTCTTACGGTATGTGCCAAATGATCGAACTCCATTTTTTACAAGTACTGAATCGAGTGTCTACCTTATAGTAAGAGATTGGCGTTCAAATCTAAGAATCCATTTCTCAATTTATAAAAATTTCTCCATGTATCGATAATAAAATTAGTAATTTTCATTTCTAATAATTTCAAATTTAGGAAGCAATTGCAGTGGGCCGGTCTTTTGCATCCATTAAAGGATACCATATTGATGGAAACAAAGAAATGGTGGCAATTGGAATGACGAACATTTTAGGATCTTTCTCTTCTTGCTATGTTGCAACAGGTGAGATTTTTCTGAAGCTTCTTTAACTTATGTCCTTTTATACCTAATTTTTTTATAAATAAACTTACAAATGATAGAATTTAATTAAATTGTACATTAAATTTTATAAAATTTACTGTAAAAATTTTGCTTGTGTTAAGTGCAGGATCATTTTCACGCAGCGCTGTAAATTTTACTGCTGGTTGTGAAACTGCAATGTCAAATATTGTGATGGCTATTACAGTGATAATATGCTTGGAATTTTTGACAAGGCTATTGTACTTCACCCCAACTGCCATACTTGCTTCAATTATTCTTTCTGCTCTACCAGGACTTATTGACCTCAATGAAATCTACAATGTTTGGAAGCTCGACAAGCTAGATTTTCTTGCTTGCATTGGGGCCTTGTTCGGAGTGTTATTCTGTTCGGTGGAGATAGGCCTACTCGCTGCGGTAACTTTACTTATATTATATGCCTAGATTTTTTCTTGCTTGCATTTGGGGCCTTGTTCGGAGTGTTAATTCCATGTTCGGTGGAGATAGGCCTACATCGCTGCGGTAACTTTACTTATATTATATAATGTATTGAATTTTAATTTATATTTTTTTTTAACTAATTTTAACTAATTTTTAATTTTATATTAAGAATGGACAAGGTCGTACAAAGAGCGTAAAATTAGACTTCGGCTTATGACAAGGTTCAATCATTATCAAAATGAGGAATGAGGTTTAATACAATTTTGGTATCCACACCATTAAGCATAGTTGATGCTTAGAGGCTTGTTTATAGCTTTTACAGCGTGAATTAGATTTGCCTAAATCGAGTATATGGCCTTACTTATATACTCCATCAACGAAAAAAAAAATTTTTTCAACATTTTTGCTGCTTCATCTTTTTTTTTTTCTTTATATATGGTTAGAAATACCTTTATTTCAATAAAAAAAATTTTTTATTGGTTTAATTCATGAATGAGCTTATATACCGAATCTAGATAAGTCAATTGGTTATAATACTCTCTCGGTCTAATAGTATAAATTGAACACTAAGGAGTAATTAATAATTTTTTTTTAATTTAACCTTTATATACGTGTTAAACACATTAAGAATATGAGATTAATGATAATTTAGTCAAATGAATGAAATTTCTATTAGAATTAACTGATCACTTAACTACCTTATAAAAAAATTTTAACGATTTATATTTATAAAGGGACACAGTGTATGATAGATATTCTTGTATGATAGATATTCTAGAAAGAAGAAATGGAAGGAGAATATTCAGCCTTAGGTTGTGGATAGCATGAATGGTTCAGGGTACTGACAAGTGATTGGTGCTTAACACTAACACACCACCACATTTACCGATGTCATGTTCCATTGGATTTGAAAGTGATGGTTCATTTATTGATGGTTCATTTATTGATGATTGACCATACAAATTCAAGCACTACCCACACTAACTTTCATCATATTCTTGGCTATTTCTTCTCTAATGAAGCTTGGAAGCACCTCCAATGTCCATGCGTTTAACTTTACTGTGCGAGTTGCAGGTGACTGTGTCGTTTTTTTTTTCCCCCCCCTTTTCCCCTCTAATGAAGCTTGGAAGCACCTCCAATGTCCATGCGTTTAACTTTACTGTGCGAAGTTGCAGGTGACTGTGTCGTTTTGAAGATAATCATAATATCCTAATTAAACCAGGCACAGAAGTTCTTGGAAGAATACCTGGAACTGATAATGTTTTGTGATGTTCTGCAATAATCCTATGGCTGCTTGAAGACTCCCTTCTGTGCTTGTAATCCGTGTCAAGTCTGGCTTTCGCTCTGTTTTGCAAAATGCCAACTTTAGTCAGACAACCGTATACATACATTACCTCTCCTTTCCATCTATTTTTCAGGATATAACAACTTAAATTCAATAATGTGCATATAAGATAGTAATATTCCTTTTTTTTTTTTTAGTTTAAATAAAATGGGCAACAAGAAAAGGAGAGGAAGAGGAACATCAAAAAGGAAATGTGAAAAGGGAGTGTCCGCAACTTGTGATTCTTGACTTGTCCAGTAAGTGGGCTTAATAAATTTTTTTTCATAGCTTAATCTAAGTTAATCAAAAAATAAAAAGAATCGATATTTTTTTATGTGACAGATTTAACAAGCATTGTACAGCAGGAATTGCTTGTTTGGAAGAAACTGCGTAAAGATCTGTTTTAAATGAAAGAGGTACTAATTAAGTATTTGGTTATATTCAACACATATATATTATTCTTTATTATTATATATTATATATTATTTTTATGAACATTTTTTTTCTTATCTAGATGGCCCATACTAACCCAAGGTGCAAGTGAATTCAACGAAGCTAAATTAGCCACTTTGTGAACAAAATTGAGAAAGATTTTCCTTTGACTATTGAATGAATGCATTGATGAAGCAATTGATGCATGTCTCAGTTCTAAAATGGTTGCCATTTAAGTGAAAAGAAAATTATGTCTATTAGTATGCTTTCTTTCCTTTTCTTTTTTTGTGTGTCGTGTATGGTCTTGTCTGTTTGTATGATTGTGTAATAGATATGTGAAATGTAATAAAAATGTGCTTTTCATCTCCTCAAGTTAGGACACTATAGTTGAAGTCCGAGAGGGAAAAAGCACCAATGTTTATGTACAATCATCTTATAATATTTTCAATTTTTTTCATTTTTGGTAAAGGGAATCAGACGTAAGAATGCATAAGCTGAAGCAAGTGCTTTGCCCTTCCCTCCGCTTCTTCTATAAAGTAACTTCCAAAAAGTTAGCGTGGTCTGTCTTTAAATTTTTTAGAATGGAAAAGCAAGTACATAATCCAATTCTTTTATGAATAATAAATAATTATGCATTTCTTATCTCATTAACAAAATTAAGTTTTTTATTTTTTGTTGAAAGAAAAATTAATCATTTTTTAGAAAAAAAATATATATGCAGAAATCTCGCAAAAAAAAAAAAAAAAAAAAAAAAAAAAAAAAAAAAAAAAAAAAAAAAAAAAAAATCTTAAATGACATCCTTCCACATAAACTTCAAATTAGTGAGTTGACTTGATTTGACTAATGAAGTTGCATTTATGCTCCACTAGAAAGAGAAAACAACAACGAAACCCAATAAGTTGCGACAAAAGTTGAACTTGTGCTCCACTAGAATGTGGCTAATCACACAACCCACAGCTGCTAGCTATATATGCACAGTAGCATAAAAAACAAGCTTATGCTCTCAAATCAAAATAGGATTGAAGGTGTTCTTATGGTTTTCAAATTGATCGGATAGTACAGTTGAATCGGTTTAATAATCGAAAATATATCTATTTTATGGCTTGGATTTGTTATCTGCTCAAATCGGTCGAGCTTGGATTTCATAGCTTGGATTTGGCTGATTTCCACCTAAATTTGGTTCGAGTTAATAATTGGTAAAATGCAATTTATTTATTTTTTTTAATCAAATCCAAAATCTAATTATGTCATCAGAGTGCTAACCATAGGCAGAAATCATTTTTTTTTATATAATTTGTTAAATTACTTATATGTGTGTATATATATACATAACAATGGATTATGGTTATAAATTAAACAAGTGCATAATTAATAGGGCATAATTAAAAAAGTATTAATAGGGATAATTAATAGGGCATAATTAAAAAAGTAAATTTTTTTTTTTGGAAATTAGAATTATATCCAAATATTTTAAACAATTTATTTTATTCAAGTTTTGAAAATTAGTTACTATTGTATTCAATTAGTGAAATTACATGATCATCTTATCGATGTCTAGATTCACAAACAATTCAGTTGATTAAAAACCCTACTTACTTGCACCTTTTGAAGATGTCTAGATTCATTGTACCCTAACATTTTTATGTAGTGCTTAACGCAACGGATGCTCATTTTGAACTTGTGAATTTTATATTTAGAGATCTGAATTTAATAACAACAGCAAATACCTTTTCCCCAAAGCCAATGAAGCTCCCTTTTTTAATTCATATTTTCACTTTTCACTTTATGCGTTGTCTCTAAGGATGCCAATGGAATAAAATAGCATTTCAGTATTTCTCCTTTTTACCTTTGGAGTTCCCAAATGGATAGCCACTTACTTAATTGGCCTAAACATGTCTATATTCATTGTATCTCTAAGCCACATATTCCATTAAGGCAAGTGCCTCTATATCAGACCACTCTCATTGAGGTTAAAAGCCACGTTTTCAATATGAAACGCAGTTGAGGTTAATCCGTGTAGAGTGGTTGCAGTGAAATAGAAATACATTTTTGAAAGAAACTATTATAATTATGAATAATTGAATCAATTGATTAAAATGCATTGTAATCTTAACCCCTTTATTAAGATTAATTAATATCAACTCATCATTTGTTTAGTTTAATTGATGTTTTCAAATCTGCAGATGATTAGTTGAAGAAGAAAGGTCCACCAAAATCAAGAATAAGCCATCATCTTTAGCAAAGATATTGCAAACCTAAAATCAGTTTCTTGAGACAGAAGAAAGTATACTTAGTGAAAAGAAATGGATTGATTAAAAAAAAAAAAAAAAAAAAAAAAAAAAAAAAAAAAAAAAAAAAAAAAAAAAAAAAAAAAAAAAAAGAAAGAGAAAATTACCCAAAATTGGTGAATATTATGGGCCAATTTCATGGAGAATCCTAAACTAAGGATGGGCATGGCCTCCTGAATAATATAATGAAGATACTCCAGTATAAATATGCTGTAATATTCTTTTCTGTTCAAGTGATGCTCCTGGAAGAGGTTAAGGCCTATGGGCCTGTCATTTTAGATGAATCTGCTCACCTTTGATACAAGCTGGGCTTAGGACAAGTCCACATTTAACCATCATTATTGCTAAAAAAGTGAATTATTATTTAATATTTCTATTATGTTCAAATATATTAATCAAGATTTCCATTTTTAAAATTTAATTATATGATCCCTTAACTTTATGTTTATTGTATCACCTAATCTTTTTATTTGTTTTTCATTAATTGTTTATGAAATATGGTTATTGCTTTTAGTGAATGTATATACTAATTACATGAGATATAAAAATGCTGAAAAAAATTACTATTTAAAAAAAAAAATACTAGGTGTGTTAGTCACTGCTCCAGTCGGCTCAGGCCATCGATTTAGGTGTTAAATTCTGATTTGACCCCATAGAGCGCACGACCCTCCGAGCACTGATGGAAGACGCTTCCCTTTTCCTGCAAGATCGTGGCCTAAGGCAACCCGCAAAGTAGGTCGTGACTCTTAAATAGCAAAGTCAATATTTAGACATCATGCGTAACAGGATGCTGTCGTAGAAGATCGAAAATATATAAATTATAACTTTTATTTTTAGAATTTAATAATATTTTTTTGGTAACTAAAAGAACAAGGAAAAAAAAAAGAATAAAATATCTCAAAAAGCTAATGCCACAAGTATCAGTCTAAAGAATTAAAGAAATTAGAATAAGAGCAGAAACCCACACATGAAGAGAGGAAGACTCGAATGACCCGATACGAATGACCCAACTTGGCCAAATAACCTACAGCAAAATTACTGAGAAAAACATGATGCATATAACAATTTCAGTCCTAAAGGATGAGAAGAAGGCAAAATAGAAGCAACCAATCGAATTGCTTTCAGGCTATCGGTTTCAACGATGAGAAAACAAAAACCACGCTCCCAAGCTAATAGAAGACCAGCCCGAGTAGCCAAATATTCCTCGATCTAAAATAGTATAACAACCAATATTAAGGGAAAACCCCCCTAACCAGAAATCAACATTATCTCGAACCAGACCACAACCACCAATCAAACCAAGATTAGAAACATTGCTACCCTCACAATTTAAACGGCTGCCATGTTGCTTTTTTTAAAAATGTCTAGTTTTTTAAAAATGTCTAGATTCATTGTATATGAAAGGATCATGCATTCATCCTCGTTTCTCTCACTTTTATTAATTTTTAAATATAGTTATAAGTTATAACCCACTATATATTAAAAATTTTCAATTTAATTGAATTTTTAAAATACAATGTCATTTTCCTGAAAGAAAAAAAAAAAAAAAAGTTGAACATAAATTAAACAACTCAATATTCATTTTGCACCAAACTGATAGAATCTGAATCAGAATATGGACTTGTTATTTGAGTTGAATCTTCTTCAACCTGGATATCTTCTTGTGCTCTATCTGTTGGGAAAAAAGAAGGTTTTGGAGGCATTATTATGCTTTCAACTTCTCCTTCAAGCATCTCTATGTTGGGGAAAAAAAGAAGGTTTTGGAGGCATTATTATGCTTCAACTTCTTCCTTCAAGCATTCTCTATAGTTTATGTATTGGAGGACTGGAAGAGAATTAAAAAGAAGAAACCGAGAAAGTAATTACATATTTGAATTAGGAGCAGAATGATAGGACTCCTTCCTTTGTCATTTATTCGCAGCAAAATAGGTTACATATATAAACAAAAGAAGTTATAACTAACCTATTCTAAAGGGAGTTGTTAACAATTGTTACAAGGATAACAATCCGATAACATTGTCCTTTACACCCCCCCCTCCCCCCCCCCCCTCAAGCTGGTGGTGGGGAGAAATCAACCAACCCAAGCTTGGAGACAAAAGTGCGATAAGAATGTGAGGGCAAGGACTTTGTGAACA